TGCCTGGTTCCTTCTCATCATTCTGGCCTCAGCTCAGTATTACCTCCTCAGAAAGGCCTTCCTGACCAGCCTATCCAAAGTAGCTCTACCCATCTTCGGTCACCTCACCCAGTTCCCTTTTTTTCATAGTACTTACCAGGTGAATTCTCTTGTTGTTAGTTTACTTACAGACAGCTTTCTCCTCACTAGAATGTAAGCTCCCTTATAGCTGGGACCTTATCTTTCTTGTTCAGTGATGTATCCCTAGAGACTAGTACAATGCTTACTACATAATATTTATTGAAAGAATGACTCACAAACATTTACCAAGTACTTATTATGTGCCAACTGCTATGCTAGGTAATAACAATGGATTTTTTTAATTAAACAAAAATAAAAAGTGGAAGTAAAATATTAGTATGAGGAGCAATTTGATGTTCATTTTATGTTGACCATTCCCGCACTTGAAATGAAAGATCTTGTATGATAAATTCTACTTTTCAAAATATTACTCTGATGGTGTAAAATATGAATACCCTTAAAGTAGTAATAATAATTAGTATCTCACTGCAGCTTTGGAAATTATCTAGATGATGACATTGTTCATTTTTTAATGCACACTTTATACATTAGTTCCCACTAATTAAGCCATCACTCAGTAAAATACTATCTAGGACTCTACATGTCTTCAGAATACCCATACAAACATTTCATCCAATCAGAAAAAAATCATGACTCTGTAAAATCTTTCTGTTCTCAACATACAGAAATATTTACAATATGACAATAGTGGTTGTCAACTTACCATTTATTGCCTGGCCTCAGATTAATTAACCAGCTTCATTCAAGCCAAGAAGTGATCAAATCCCAATTACTAATCAACTTCATTTCACAAAAGTCATCACTAAAGTTGAGATTCACCCCTCAACTTCCAATGCCAATTATAATAGAACATGTCCAACCGAGTTTAGGTCCAACCGAGTTTAGGTCAAAGAGTTATGTTTCATTGTTACCACAGTACTTTTAGATCCATCTAATTCAGAACCACAGCAGAAAACCTTAGTATCTGATGTAATCATACCAGTTACCACCACTATCATTATGACATCACTAATCACCTATGGCAAACCATCAACTAGAAAGAGGTAGATTTCAAGCTCAGGGCATTAAATGACATTTCTTCCAGATCTTATGTTTTCTATAACACCATGTTTTAGCACACTTTAAAACTATCATATCCTACCCCAAAATGTTGTAAGGGTTGAATATATTAACGTTTTTATTTTTCTTCTTATTATTATTTTTTAAAGATTTTATTTATTTATCAGAGAGCGAGAGAGAGAGCACAAGCGGGGGAACAGCAAGCAGAGGGAGAGGGAGAAGCAGGCTCTCTGCTGAGCAGGGAGCCCGATGTGGGACTCGATCCCAGGACCCTGGGATCATGACCTGAGCTGAAGGCAGCCACTTAACCGACTGAGCCACCCAGGCACCCCGAATATATTGTTTTTAAAATATGATTTATAAAATGAATCAAGTTCAGTATAACTAGATATACATACTCAAAATATTACTATATCATACTAGATTTTTAAAACCTAAGGGAAATTGAGGCACCTGGGTAGCCCAGTTGGTTAAGCATCCCAACTCTTGATTTCGGCTCAGGTCATGATCTCATGGATGTGAGATCAAGCCACAATGTCAGGCTCTGCCCTGGGCATGAAGCCTACTTAAGATTCCCTCTCTTCTCCCTCTCTAAAAAACAAAACAAACAAACAAAAAGAACCTAAGGGAAATATACCCATCCTTCAACCAATTTTGAAATTATTATACATTTTGAATAGTAAGGTATTCTCAAATGCACTCAACCAAAAAACATAAAAGACATACCACTCGTTCTATTTAAAATTAGCTTTCTAACCATACTTGACAATAGAGAATTAAGAGGGGGGGGGCTTTTGTTTTTTCTTTGTACAGAAATATAAGAACATATCTTATTTACATTTATAAACAGTTACTCTATAAAGCTGGAAAAGTGTAGGTACCAAAACAAAATTAAATCTTAAAGCAAAGGTCAAAAGTTCAGGATTTTCCAACTCACACTTGTTACTACTATGTTTTTACTGTCATTACTTAAAAAATAAAAAAGTTCCCTTCAGTATTTTCAGCTGATTCTATATTACCTTTCATTTTCTCTTTAGTCTAGTTGCATATTTGTAGAAACAAATCAGTTTTAGGATACCTAGAATCAACCCACATATTGAAATAAACTCATTTCAATACCAGAAACTATCTACTTATCCCTGGTCTTCCCACTGGCCCACAGGACCAAAATGATTGCTGACAAATTCAATCAGAAGACAGCCCCTTGTTTTCAGAAAAGCTCTAAAATCATTCAATTTAGTCAAAAGATACACTGGACATCACTTCAAAAATATAAATTCTCTTCAAATTCTCAGAAAGGAAAAGAAATCCCTGCATAAATCAACTCAGAGGTCGTTAACTTGACCTTCACCATCTGCTCATTTGTAGAAGAAACTACACTTAATTTTTTCATCTATGGTATAACTTTATAAAACTAACTAAAAAATAATTTTAAATACTTATTTGCTCATGGGACGCCTGGGTGGCTCAGCTGGTTAAGCATCTGCCTTAGGCTCAGATTATGGTCCCAGGGTCCTGGGATCGGCCACACTGGGCTCCCTGCTCAGTGGAGATCCCGCTTTTCCCTCTCCTCCCCGCTTGTTCTCTCTCCCGCTATCGCTGTCTCTCGCTCTCAAATAAATAAAATCTTAAAAAAAAAACAAAAACTTATTTGCTCAAGAAAATAAAGCAGCATAACAAAAACCACATCATTATTACTGTAAAAGTAATCCACTCTCAGCATATAGCCGAAAAAAAAATTTATTGGAAAGGCATGTCCTGACTTACCAATGGTTTATCACTGTCAAAAAAGCTGAGATAAAATATATGCTTTGTAAAGATATCCTGTCCAAATTCCTTCAACTTGGGTACTGTTTATAAAGTATCTCCTTCCACTATGTTCTTTGCTACAGCTAAGGTCTAGAGGCTGCAATACAACCTCAAAGTCCTTCCTTCAGTTACTTAACTTCTAAGCACTATGATGTTTTCTTCCTCATGGAAGAAAAATGGATACAATGCTTGGGTGATATTATACCTCCAAACATATTATTACAAATCTATTTAAAGAGGTTAGGTTACAAAGATATTACAGATGGCTTCTGACATGTACAATAAATTGAAACCACTCCATCCAACCCCTAGGGATAATGAAGTGTCTTCTCACTTACTGAAGTTACTTTGATTGCAGGATTTCCAAATACTCAGTAAGCATCAGAAACCTCTTAACTGCGGTCTCCCCTTCTTAGGACAAGTAGTATACATCTTAGAGAAAATAATTCCTATTCACATTTCTACTAACTTCATGCCTACATTAAATTCCATTATTTTTAAAAGTGTTGCAGGACCAAATTTAAGAGAATGATTTTAAATTTAACTCTGAATTTTAAAATTTATATACGTCTCCATCTAAAAGTACAGTATGATGACTACAGTTAACAATACTGTATGACTGAAATTTGCTAAGAGAGTAGATCTTAAGTGTTCTTACCACTCACAAAAATATTGTAACTCTATGAGGTGATGGATATATTAACTAGCTTGATTGTGGAGATCATTTCATGATGCATATATACATCAAAATATCAAGTTGTACACCTTAAATATACATACAATTTCTACTTGTCAATTACATCCCCCAATAACTGGTAAAATTATGTCTTAAAAAAACATCACAAATTTCTAGACTATCACAAAATTGCATTATTTGAAATTTTAATAGCAACTGTGCCTGATATATTTCAAACAGCAGAAAATACTATCAGAAAAAAAATTCACATTTCCAAATACTGCTTCTACTTTTTTCGTTTTGCAAATAGCTTTGAATGTACAGGAAAATGTCAGTTACAAGTGGAACTCAAACATTTTGTGGAACAAGGTTACTTAGGAGTTCTAGAAACACCTAAAATTGTAGGAAAAATTTTGCGTCTGTCCTTAGGGCAATTTTTCCTGGATAAAAGGCCTATATAACTTCCCAGCTTCTCAAAAGGGTTCAAGATCCAATTAAAGTGACTGGAGGAACCGTCAGTGTCAAATAACTTGTCACAGGCAACCCAAGCCTTATTTTTTTTTATCCCGAATTGGGGGGGGGGGGGTGGTTATCCTAATTTCGTGGCTCCTACACAACTTCTAAGCAGATGCAGGCATGAAATGGCTGTCCGTCCGATACAAACCGCTCCCTTCACACACTGAACGCGGCAATCTCCAAATTTTCCTTGAAGGGGCCAGGGAGAAGCAAACGCATTAACACCCCCACTGCTCAAAGATCGATTGGCTCATGCAGGACGTGTCCTCCCCTTACGCCAGGGAGGGCTCCGGGGAGGTGACCAGGTTTCACTGAGGGGCTGCAGTCCCCTCCGGGATCACTTACGGAGGAGACCGCACCACCAGCAACCTCCTCCCGCCCCCAAACGCCCCAAGTAGCAGCTGCGGGCGTGGGCGCAGCGGACCCCGGCCCTCCCAGGCGCGCCACGAGCCGCCGCCGCGCAGCACGGTCGCAGCGACCTTCTCGCTCACGTCCTCCGTGAGCCCCGTTATCCACGTTGGCCACACACCCCACGAGGGAAAGGGAGGAGGTCGGACAACAAAGCGCAACAGCAGGAGGCCCAGGCGAGCTTTAAGTTGGGGCGCGGGGGCTGCAGCCCGAGGAGGAGCTGGCTGGACGCCGAGCCGCGCGATGCGGGGCGGACGGGGCCGGGGACGCCGCCCGCCAGATGTCAGCCCGCGGGGCCGGGAGGAAACAGGGCGGGCGTGCGCGCGGCGGCGTCGGGGAGGCGGCCCGGGGGCAGCCAGGCCTGAGAAGGGAGGGGAGCGGCGCCGGGGTCCCGAGGCGCCTTGGTCGGCCGCGACCCCCACGCCAGCCGGGGGACTGTCCCGTTACTTACCCGCCGGGAGACTGCGGGCTCCGCCGGGGCTGTCTCGGCCGCCGGCCTCCGGGGCCAGGAAGCGCCCCCACATAGCGGGCGGGAGGGCCGGGGGCGCACGACTCCCCTCGTCCGTCCTCCCCCGCCTTCGCCTCCTGCTTCTTCGGCGGCGGAAACTTGTGCGGAGCCTCGGGCCGCGGCAGCAAGCGCTGGAGGGCGAGCAGGCGGTCTGGTTAACGGCTGCTCAGCGACGGGCGGGGAGCGCAGGGGCCAGATTCGACGCGGCGCCGCCGGCGGCGGCTGCCATGGCCCAACCCGCTGGGCTGAGGCCCGGGCCGGGGAAGCAGCGGCTCCGCGGTGACGGCGGCTGGGTCCCCGGCTGAGCCCAGGCTGGGCTCAGAGCCTCCAGGCGAAGTTGCAGCTGCGGCTTTTCTCCGCCCCCTCCTCCGGCCGAGCCGGAGCCCGAGTCGGGGCCGGGTGGGGGCGGGACCTGACGGGGGCGTGGCCTCGGGCGCTTACATAATGCGTGCGCGGCGCGGGGCGGGAACTGCGGGCCGGTCCCTCAGGGAACCTTTACGCTGGTTTGCTCAGCCGGCGGCTGATGGGTCGCCTCGACGCACCAGCTGCATCCCTCCCTCCGCATCCTTGTGCTCAGTCGGATGAGAAGAGGGGAAGATGAAAAGAACTTGGCCCCGGGGCTGTATCTTTCGGTACCGCCCTCCCTAGGGTAATCCCTCGGGCCCTCCGGGGCACCTCTCCGAAAGAGACGTGGAAGACCGGTGCCCGCAGCATGACTGCTTGAGATAAAAGGCTAGCCCGGGAGGGATTGAGGGACTCCCAGTCTTCTTTGGGATTGGGATTAAAGTCATCTTGCATTCCCGAAACGTTGATAGATCACTTGGGGGGACAGAAAAGAAGTCGTGTTCCTGAATTCTCAAATTCATTGGCGCGGGAGCGGGTAGCAAAATATCTACTATACAAGAATGTGCACAGGAAAAAGCAGAAAAGAAAAAGACCAGACGGTTCAGGGAGGGGCCGTAAATTTTAATCGAGTAGCCCAGTGATTCAGATAAGCAACCAGAGAGGAAGGAGATAAAATGGCACCAAAGTGTGTAATGGGAGTACCTCCTTACACCCTGCACCTTCACGTTTCTCCTGCATTTGGTCAGTTCCCACTCTTCACCTGAACCCAGAGTACAAGAGTAAGTATACTGAGGAAGGACAAAAGAGAGCTCTCCTTAAATCTTACTTTTCACTGGAAATATTAGGATCCTTCCAACATTTAGATTTCTAGAAAAGAGTTCATTTAATAAGTATTGGTGGAGCACTGTAGAAGGAGGGTTCTACACCTGACACATGAATCAGAGATAAACTAAAAAGCAAGTCCCTACCCTCAACAAGACTTCTGAGTCCAGTGATACTTTTTCCTGTTTTAGAAGTTTGCTAACAAAGGCCTTGTATTTCTATTTAAACACTTTAGAGATGGGAAATACTGCTTAAAGCTTTTAGAGTTTAAATTACATTTAGTTGTGTAGTCTATTACTTACCACATCTGTGTTGTAATTTATCTGATTGCAGTTTTACATTTAGTCTCCCACCCATAGAGTTTCATTTATCTCTCCAAATCATGAGCAGAGTTGGCCCAAGGGTCAGCTTTTTCTGAGGATAGAAAGTGACAGAAACATGAAAGAATGTGCTTGGTTCCTTTTCCTGATTTAAATGTGCATTAGCTCATTTGAATAGTTTAGGTATTCAAGTTTAGGAAACTTGAATAGTTGAGGTTCAGAAAGAAACCTAAAAAATAATAATAATAAATTCCAGAAAGAATTATCAGAAGCTATACAGCTGTATCAAAGTATCCTTGTTTTCATGACTTATAGTTACCATAGTCTCGTATTAGGTACAGTATTTATTATAAACACCAAACTTTTTTTATACAGTTCTAAGATACGTATGAATTATTACAGATATATCTTGGTCCTTTGTGAGTTTATATTTATTTGTTATTCCAAAACTCTGCCAACTTCCACTCAATTCTAAGCAGTGTTTTTTTTTTTAATCATTTGCTCAGATTTTCTACATGTTTTTTTACCGATGTGAAGGGCGTGATACTACACACACTCAAAAGAACATGTGAAGCTGAGACTATGTAAAATATTTCAATACCTATTACAGGGTAAAAGGAAATATTAAAAACATGTTTCTATTTTGGCAGCTCTCAGTTGGCACCAAAGAAAAAAATTGTTGTGTTACTACTAATTAAACTTGAAAGGATACAGATCTAATGCAATTAAGATAACATAAATACTAAGTGAGAGCATTATATATATGAAGTAAACTGTAACCATTTTTTATTCATATAGATTCTGAATATATACTGAACTCAGATTCCCCCCACACCCAGTATCCATAGTTCTCAGAATGATTAAAATTCATCATAGCAAAGGCTTAAGAACCTAAGAACTACCTAACCATGACCAAGCCTGATGTTGTAAATTGGCATATTTTTGTTTTGTTATGATAGTATGAAAAAACCATGAGAGGAATCTTACAAGCAAAGACATTTATTACTGAACTTAAGTATTTCGGTAATTGTTCTTCTAAGCAGAGATAACAAAAGTATTGAAAATAGTGATTGTGTATGTTTCTGTGTGTGTGTATGTGTGTATGTGTTTTAATACAGTTGCTTAGGTGAAATTTACATAATGTTTTGGGACAGGACTCTTTAAAAGTATAAACTAGATCATAAAAGAGTAAAATAGTAGCAAAAACACCACATTTAATATCAAACCATATTAAACTCTTCATTTGAAATATTGCATTCCAAAAAAAAAACCAATTAAAAATGAAAAATAAATGTTGCATTTATAAATCTTAAATTCTTTGGATATGAATCTCTGATCTGATTAAGTTAAATTATCTTACATGTATTTTTCTTACATAAATTTATCATATTGGGCAAACAACAACCAGAGAATTGAAGAGTGATATAACAAAGGATAAAAGTGATATTTTAAAATTAGAAGAAAATATCTTGTGCATAATATAAGGAAACCTCAAGAGAGGTTAATGTTTACAAAAATATAAAATATCAAAACCAATGAAAAGTAGAAAAATTAAACCATCCAGTAACAATTGAAATAGCTCCCAAAGAACAATTGCCACTTGAGAGGGACAGATTTGTGGATGAAGTCTAAAAAATTCCAAGGAACAGATAATTCTGGTGTATCAAGGTTGTTACAAGGGACGTGATATATAACCTCTTCCAGATCATAAAAATGATAACTTACTGAATTTATTGTGGGTTGTTGTAATTTCAAATAATCATTTATAAGAAACTCTTGACAATGGATTTGAAAAATCTTAATTGGATTCCTAGCAGATACATTCACTACACAAAGGTGAATAGAAGACGTAGAGTTTATTCAACCTGTCTGTGCCTCAGTTTCCTCATCTGTGGTGCGACCAGGCCAACAGGGTGAGGCTATCTCATCTCAAGTCCATGATTCCTGAGAGATACAGAAAATTAATCCTATCTGTACCTTTGGCTCCAAAGTTGGGTTGCAACGCCAATGAGAATATAGGTAAGACATGAACCACTAAATCATGGAGAAGTCCTTTGAGTAGGAGGCAAGGCTGTGAGGGATGGAATTTAAATGAAAGACAAAGTTAAGTCTTCAGAGGTACCATCAGTGTTTACTGGAACTGCTTAGGATTGACATATTTGTGAATGGAACTTATTGTGGTCACTACCTGGTCATACTGAGCATGTAGAAAAGATGCAAGGTCATTTACAATGAAGGGGGACAACAACCTTGACAATGTATAAAAAGACAGTTTCTCCCCTCCCTGTCTTCTTATTCAGACACCAGAAGGATAAGCATAGAGAGAGAAGGGTGGAGTTCAAGAAAGCAGCTCATACCTTCCCTACACACACACACACACACACACACACACACTCTCCCCCACACCCACACACACACAAACACGCACACACACAGCCTCCTACCTAACCTGCACTAGTGGAGAAGAGGACTATTTTAATAACTTAAAATGGTCAAAATATTACAGAACTGGATTGAGATGAACTCAGTGGAAAGGCAGGTTTTCAATAAAGTACAGTGGATAGCAGGAGTGGGACTTTAGAATATATATTTTAAGTGAATTGAGACTTCTCACTAAACCAATTAAATATTTTATGTAATCCTCAAAACAATATGTCATCAAAACAAAAATAAAAATAGTTTTTTTAAAAAATGAACAAAGAAGAAAAAAGACAAAAAACAGACACTTAACCTTAGAGAACAAACTGGCGGTTACAGGGGGGATGGGTGAACTAGATGGAGGGGATTAAGAGTACACTTACTATGATGAGCACTGAGTAATGCATAGAATTGCTGAATCACTATATTGTACACCTGAAACTAATATAACACTGTATGTTAATTATACTGGAATTAAAATTTAAAAATAAATAAAACAATCTGTCATCAACAGTCAATTTAGCTCCATTTTAAAGATTGGGAGAAAAAGACCCAGAGAAGTAAGGTCATACAGGCAGTAAAGAGCTAGCATCCAAATCTAATCCATATGATCCCAAAGCCTGTGCTTTCCCCATCATGCTCTTTAATACGTTGCAAAACAAATTATAAGATTTTTCTTCAGATGGCGTGTGAGAAGGAAGTACCTAATTATAGGATTTCTGTATAATGTTTAGGGTTCAGCTAAATTGGAAACCATGTGACATTAATCTGTGGTGTTGTATGATTTTCTTTAGCTGCAGCCAGCAGTTTGAGTATAGGAATAAAGAAAGCAGATAAAATAAGAGGATTTTGTGGTGTGGGCACTTAGGGAAAGGGGGCAAAGAATTTAAGGATATTGGCTGGAGAATGGGTGAAGTGATGGGAATCTGGGTCTGGCCTATCTGGAGAGAACAGTGAAATCGAGAGAGGGCTGAAATGTTGACAGAAGGGCGAGGGAATAAGGGAGTGGAAGTTTCTCGTGAAATCAAAGAGCAGATATAATGACAATAGAGGGGTGAACAGGCTGGAAAGATGGGGCATTAGGGTGAGTGGGGAGAATGTTGGAGTTCAAGATTGCAGAGGTGGAGCAGGGGAGGAAGTAATCCATGAGGTTGCACTGGAGTTGCAGGTCTCTGATCTCCCTTCCAGAGAAACGTTGATGTTCAGCCACAAAGAATGCAGTTGACTGACGGGCCCCAGCTGTTAGCACCTGAAGGATCTGCCTCAGCTTTTGAGGGTAGGCCATTTTTCCTGGATAGCTCCAGCCAATAACAGCATGGCAGAGACATTGGGGCCTGCCATTCTTTCCCATGCAGAACCCTGTAATCATCAGCCTTTGTCTTCTAGCTCTCTGTTGGGTTGACTGAGACTTGGTCAGATCTGCATTGGGTTCTGAGTCTTCCCTTTCCAATCCTATTTCC